ATAATGTATCATTTTATTCTAGATCTCTCCTACCGACCATATTTGCCATGCTTGCTGGCAATTAGCAATGTATTGGGATGTTCCTGAAAGTATGTCCAGCAAACAAACTGATCATTGACATGTCTGTGTCGTATGTGGGCATTCCATTGCAAGGATAAGGTGACGCAGGGGTTTAATTGAAGGCGCCAACGAACAGGAGCAAAGACTAGCTCATATAGTATCTGATTGGATTCAGCCACGAAAGGTAATAATTTATTGTATTAACCATATACTATTATCATATAATTTAAAGTCAATATGACATTCTAATAATATTACTTTTTTTAGCTTACTTCCAATGATGAAGATCGTGTTCCATGCTGGCTGAGAGCCTTAACAAGAGTCGGATCTATAAGACCACAACCTGACATACCACCTCATAGTGTTCACTATCAGGATGTAATGTGTTATGTAAACATGGACTAAGCCTCACTTTAACATTGCCGTTTGTAGAACAGATGAGGCCAGAAGATGTTGATCGGCTGTCAGAGCTTCAATAGGTATGTGAAGTGTATAACCGGTTTATAATAGGTTTATACACATGTTATAATTATAATAATTGATTAATTAGCATGCTGTTTGAGCTCCTATGATGTGTGTTATAGGAATACCCTATTAAACTGTCAAACACCAAGCGGTCACCGGTGACCGCAACCTATTGTTCTATAATTGTGTCTATAATGATGGTACTCGACGAGTTAAAGGCATTTTAACATTGTAAAATCAAATAATGTAATCAAATATTTATTTTTATCTTTTCTATTTTGAGATAGGGAATCAGAATTATAACATGTGAAACTAATGGAAAAAATGTTGTTTTGTTTACTTTATTTACAGTTATCTTACTTGTTTACAGATATCAGCAATTAATGAAGTGTGTGCTGTATGACACCGCCTGCTCTCTTTTTAGAAGAAGTACTCCTAGAAACAACCTAAATACAATGAAATAAAAGTATTTCAAAATAATACATTTGTTTTATTTTAAACAGGTACCTAGTAACTATATATAAACAATCTATAAAATAAATGCCATCTTTATTTTAGATTGCTTTAGTTTTATACCAAAAATGTTCATTTTCATTTTACATTTCTTTACTTGTGTTGTGGTGGCCAGGAGGTTTAAGAAGCCCGTTTCTCATGCATGAGAGTGCAAGTTGCAACGGCAAAGTACCAATGTGACTTTTTCGAGTTATGTATATATATTTTTTATTTATTATTTAATAATCTAAGAAAGTACAAAGACACCACTGACAAACGGTGAAGGAAAACATTGTGAGGAAACCTGGGCTTATAATTTCTAATTATAAGTTTGAAATCACCAACCCACATTAAGCTAGCGTACTGATTAAACTGTCAAACACAGAGCGGTCACCGATGACCACAACCTATTGTTCTTTAATTGTGTCTATAATTACGGTACTCAACGAGTTAATGCTTAAACCTAATCCAGTGAGAAGAGACCTTCGGTCGGCATGGGCCACTTATAGACTTAATGATGAAACTGATGATGATTTTACTTATTTGACTTACTTATTAGAAATTAAACCTTAAAACGCTTGCTAAGCAACCAGTTTTCAGAAGAAATACTTTCTCAAAGAGCTACGCTTAAGTTTAAATCGAATTAACTTAAAGACTATTTGTATATCAGGCCTCTGCCTCGAATCTTGATTTTACACATTAAATCTTGCATCTGCCCGCAAGATTCAAGGTGAAGTGAGACATTAGTTTTATCATATCCGCCAAAAGACGTCCACTGCTAAATGTAGGCCTTCTACCCAATGACAGTCGCTCACAATATTAATTTGCATTTTCGTAGGCACCTAGTAAATGAAAGAGATTGTAAAGCATACTCTGTAAAACTCTATAGTTACAGCATACTTGCTGAATTAACAGTTAATTAATTTACTCATAATACAAAGTGTAACAGTCACGAGTAGCGAGCAGTGTTTAGAGTTTAGTTTGTAAACAAAACAACCAAATAAAAAATAAGTCAACATTGACATTTTTCAATTAACTGTCATCTGTCATTTGTCATATTATGTACTTTTGCGTAAAGGTGGCATTATACTTGACATTGCGTATTTGTTGTGTACGGCCAAAACAGACCATGTGTGGAGGGTTTATTCGTCTTCATTTGCTATATACGTATATTTGCACGCTTTTACATTTATAGATACTATTTGGACGCCATTTGTACGTAGTTCACAAATATTTGTACAAATGAAGCGAATACGCAATGGCAAGTGTAATACCGCCTTTACGTACCTTCTGCACATTTTCAAAGTGAAATAACTTTTGAACCCGAAGTTCTAAAAATATGTAATTTTTTTCTAAACTTCATAATAAAAATATCTATCGTTCAGACCATTCACTTGGTTAAAACAATGAGAAATACAAAATTTTATAGCGGTACCAAACCTCCATACAAACCTGCCATTCTCCTTTAATGTTTAAATTAGCCTATATTTTTAGGTAAACATAATAATATACAAACTGTTTTTATTTATTTATTTATTTAAAGCTTCTGGACTTAATGCCGCAGGCAATTTTTTTTATTGGTAATACATAAAATTAAATTATAATGACTAAGAAAAACTATTAACTCGTTGAGTACCGTCATTATAGACACAATTAAAGAACAATAGGTTGCGGTCACCGGTGACCGCTTGGTGTTTGACAGTTTAAACATATTGGCATAGTTAATTAATCTTTCATTATTTAGGTATAAACACATAGTTGAATAAAATTTGTTGTTTAGTTTTTACATTGCAGTAAAATTCACTTTCAGGTTAATAATATCAAAATTTTATATAGTTTATAATATCAACCTGTATAGATTTAAAATGCATAGTAATAAAGTGATGACTTGAAACATAGATTGCATAAACCTAGTTCAAGCAAATCATGACAAATATTAGTTCTAGTCCTCTTGTTTTTCTGTCCATAGTTTTAAGCATAATGATATATTATTATCTAGTTAATAGTCTATCATAATTTAACTTTAATATTGTAATTTTTAAAACCAATTTTGTAAAAAAGTAAATCATTGGAACATTCTTTTAAATAAAATATTGAAAACACATTATATACCTACCAGGCTGCCATAAATGCAATGTTTATAATAACAAATGTAACCAAATAGGTTTTACCCGAAGATCCACCACCTTACAAGAATTAGTGAAAAGAAACACGCATAAAAGAAAAAGTGTTAAAAAAGTCACCACCAAGTATGAATAAGATTGCTTCCCTATAACTACTGTATCATGTACAATAGAGCATAAATATAAGTACTACATACCTGGAATATATGTGGGTTGCTGAGACAGATGCTGCTGTATAGATTTCTGCGTCATCTCCAGCTGGTTCTTGTAATACCGACAAGCAGGGTTGGGGCAGTTCTGTACTACTTCTATTATGAATTCCTTCTCCATTCCAAACTGCTCTCTGCCTATTGTGTACGATTCTACAACCTGAAATCATCAAAAATTAAAACAAAACTGGGATCTATAAAAAGCCATAACAATAATAACATAAAGGAACTTACAGCTCTAACTGTTGCTTCTAATCCTAGATGGAGCCCATGAGGTCCATTCATATGCTTCAACATGACAGCGTTAGCAAAATGTTCATATGGCAATATTATCTTTCCATTCTCGCGCAGAATCAGTCTTCCTTGTGTATCTAAACCTACTCTGGATGCCATCATTCTGAAATTATACATTATGATGGTAAATAGTAACTTATATAAGCCAAACATACATAAGTAATGTAGAGAAATTAGATACATTTTAATTTAATTGATATAGTGTTCACAACTGAACGCATGCTGTGATGTCCTTCAAATGTTGTACATTAGCAGTAAGATGTTAATTCCTAATTTTAAGTTAATGATAAAAATGTAGCAACAACTGGATGTCCAAATAAATAAATAAATAAATAAGTAGTTATAATTTTATTAGCATTGTAATTTAAACACTTCATAAAAGATCATGCTATTGTCAGTGTTCATTCTATAAGTAAAATGTAGTTTCTGAACACATTTATATTAGTCTGAAGTAATACACTTACTAATTGTAGTGACTATCAGGTTTTGATTATTAGAATCTTATAAGAAACTAGTATATTTATAAAAAAAAAATCACTTACTGCAAATATGCAGCACTGGGAAGCATGGATGACTCTTTGAGGTCACTGAAACATTGCAGCAGTTCTATACTGGGGCTCCAGCCCTTGTTCTGTAGGTAGAGCTGCAGCAGCATGTACAGTTTCTCAGTGACATAGCCCTCGGCTCCGTGCGGTGTTGCCGAACTCGACGTACTCGCCGCGCCACTCGACGTCCCAGTGCTTTTCGCAAGTACACTCTTCATCGTCTCCGCCAAATCCATCTTGTAGATGTCTAAATATGTCCTCTTTTGGGAATCCTTCGAGATAACAAACAAACAATTTAGCAAATAATGCCAACCACGGAGATCGATAGCGATAGCCAGACGGTCACTAAATCTCGACTCATAAACCGTGTACACGCATACTAACCAGAATGATAATATGTTCGTGCTAAAGAATTAATAAGAATTTGAGTAATTAAATCTTAATTACAGATTTATCCATTCGATATCTTACACAAAAAATAGAAATAGTGAGGTTTTCGTTCTTCTCTTGACGCTGTCAATTTTTTTGAAGAATAAAAACGAACTAGTGATGAATTGTGTTACTAAACTAATCCTATTACTATTTGGCATTTAGTATTATTATTTTCTTTGAAACTGGAAAGCTCGTAATTTAGATTCCATTTCAATTTTTATGCAAAATTACCATTTAGTTTATGTATTACCTCTCCTCTTACCTAGTAAATTATTGTTAATATTAAAAGAGAAAGAAACGAATGGTATTATCGGTTTATGGTACGTTCCGTTTGTCACATCACTCTTTCTCTATTACTTCCCATTTTTGACAGTTTTTGATACAAATGACATTTTGAATCAAAATAAAACGTGCATGCTTGTGAGGTTAGATCGTTGCAAAATAACGATTGCTTTATTCTTTAGTGGAGATTTATTATCTTAGAATAAGTAAAAATTCCGTTTATAATGGACGAGTTAATTGTAGGCACGTACGAAGGCTTTGTACTAGGATATTCTATACGCACTGAAGATGCGGTAAGTACCTTGCTGGTATATACATAACATGGTGTAATTTTGGGGAAATAACTGTTAAATCTTAATTCTGTACTTATATATTGTAGGTAATGAAATTGAAACAAACGTTTGCTACTCATTCACATACAGCATCAGTCAGATGTATGTCTATAGGAGGTAAATTCCTTGCATCGGGTGGCACCGATGATAAAGTGGTGGTCATCGACATGAAAACTCGCAAAGAGCACACAGTCCTTATGAACCACGATGGAACGATAAATACCGTCGCTTTCACCAACGGCGGTACACATCTACTAACTGGCAGTGATGACGGTTCAATCATTGTTACCAGAACAGGCAATTGGCAAATAGAAAAGATATGGAAGAAAGCACATGGAGGTATGCAATAAAGTTCATTTCAAAAACAGCCGAAACTAATAGCCATATCTTTAATTAACTTACTCACTTTTAAATTATTTCAGGTCAGCCAGTCACAGCTATTGCTGTACATCCATCAGATAAGCTTGCACTCAGTGTAGGTGGTGACAAAACTCTCAGAACATGGAATTTGATCAAAGGTCGTCCAGCCTTTACAATCAACCTCGCTAGTAAAGGTGTATTATTACCCACAGAAATCAAGTTCTCTCCTGGAGGAGATAGGTTTTCATTAGTTTCTCAACAGTCTGTTGATGTATGGACAATTAGTAAAGCTGGTGTTGAAAAACGAATAACTTGTACCTCAAAACCAACATCAGTGCAGTGGTTGAGTGATGAGAGGATATATGTTGGACTAGAAAATGGCAATGTAATTACTCTGACTGTGTCTGATACACAAGCCCTTACTTATAAGGCACACAAACAGAGAGTAAAGTCACTGCATTATGAAAGTGAAATGTTATATTCAGCTTCTAGTTCAGGAGAACTGAAGGTCTGGTCTGTTGATGATTCTACGTTAGATGAACTCTGTTCCTGCAATGCTTCCTGTAGGGTAACTTGTGTCACACTAAATAGGCAAAGCCATCTTATCAAAAAGGAGGACAAGTCTGATGAAGAAGAAACAGAAGAGAAAGTAGCAAGTGAGGAAAATGATGACTCTGAAGAAACTGAGGAAGTCAGTCCTCCACCCTCTAAGAGAAAACCTGGGGCATTTGTCACCATTAGCTATGGTGATGATGACAAAGGCGACCATGATGAAGATACAGAAGTTAAACCACCACCAGCAAAGAAATTCAAGAAAAGAAAACGCAACAAAAAGTCTAAAAAAGCTGTTAAACCCGCTGATTAAATTTAATACTTGATGTTGACCATTTGGATTTTATTTGTTATCATTTCAATAAGTTCAATAATGTATTTCCTATGGATATGATTTCATGCATTAACAATAGCAGCAAGAAAACTCACATCTACATTGCAGGATTATATTTTCATTGTCTTCTCACAAAATGTACATGATACACAAGAACACAGTAAAAAACAATGTGATGTAGACTTTGGTTTGTTTATTAAATTATAAATAAAAAAATCTTCTCTTGAACACACACCCAAATACATAATTAAGTTCATAATAAATTAATTTGGTCCCGAAATAAATATTATATTAAAATAATTAAAGAAACTGTAAATTAAAAAAACAACAACATTAAACAAAAGTACTGATCAATTTTGGCAATGGACTCTACTTATTATTAAATCTTAAATGAAATAAATATTCTAAATGCGTAACGTACATCCAGTCACACAGTATGATTTCAAGCTCACTCTGGTGGTCTCCACATTATCTACTCGAAACTATATTTACATGATTACATGATGGGGTATGGAACCAAATGACGCACATGAATACACAGACAGTAACGCTTACTTGTTAGATTAGATAAACCATAATGTATGTCGCCTAAGAAAAACTATAAAGCTCATCTAAACGATCAAAACTTCACACAGAAACAACTATGAATATAGGTAGAAATAGTAATTTACTGGAATGTATAATAAATCGTGAAGATTGCATTTCATAAGAGTTCACAAGATAGTAACTGTTTCGAATAAATACTATGACATGGGCTGGGAAGATAATCTGGTACTCTTACATGACATGAGATCACAATATGTTTCATGAATGTTACTTCACTATACAATTTAAAATATACTAAACGCTGGCGACGTAATAGAATATAATCAGTCACCGTATCACTAAGTACATTTTGTGCAATATCATTCATAATTATAAATAAATGCCAAGGATTATCAAAATCAGTTTGCATTGCATTGGCCACGAACGTAAATAAATTACTGCATTACAATCTCATTATTATAATTGGTGATAATTACATACGAGAAAGTTATTTCCTAATCTTAAATACTTGAAAATTTCTAAGAAAAATTGTTATAATTCATGACTTTAGAACATCTAATTCATCTTATTGACTAGATTGAGCCAGTATTTTTTTTCCTACAGTCCACAGCATGATCTCGAACTTCCAGAAAAAACTGACACAATTAATACAAAATGTAGGAACGATGAAGAAACCAACAAAATGTCTGTCGAATATAGTATGGAAATAGATTACAATAGACAGTCTAGATAAATGAGTTCTACTTGTCCTGTCCCACATTCACTTAGGTCTAATTTTCGATTAATAATATTCGTTTCTTCGTTTGAAGCAGCACTAACGTCACTAGTCTCTAAGCTATGGGTCAGATGGCACTCTGTATGCTATCAGACACAGCTTTATACCCACCACCAATACCATCGCGAGCTTCAGTCACATGAACATCTCTCATATCAATACCTACTTGTTAATAATATCTTAGAATGTAACTACACGCTTTCGAACTTTCAAACACAAAGAAAAGGCAAGAAAGGAAAGTTGAACACGAGTCGGAAATTCTAGATAATTTATACAAAAATTAGGTCAACATTTTATAGATATTATATTTCATTCTTATAGTTGCCATAAATAATTGCCACAGAAAAATAAACATAGTTGAAAAACACAGGAGACAGTTCACATGAAGCGTAAAATATTCAAAATAGATAGGAAATACATGGTCACGAAAAACGTATAATTTGAATGTGCAAATATTTCTTATCTCCGTCATATTAAATGACGCGTAACGTAATATATTATACGCATTGTTTCGCACAACACTAAAAAGGTAGTAGAAGTTCATGTGAACTGACTCATTCTTTGGTGATGGCATGTCAGAGCCGTGTGATAGATTTACTTCTTCTTGGCTTTCTTCTCGGCCTTCTTGAGGGCCTTGAGGTGCTTCTCGTGCGCGGATCGTAGGTCCTTGAGGCGTCGCTTCATACGGCGGCGGTCGTCTCCGCCCAGCCCCAGCAGCTTCAGGTCGGCGGAGCTGAGCGCCAGTAGCAGCGCCCCGTCCACTCCGCGCGCCGCGAAGGCCCCCGCGTGACGCTCCAACCCCTCGCCAAGCCCCGACACCCACTGCCACACCTGCAGGAAACACATGATATTCTAACAGCGCCCAACTGAGTTTCTTCCATTATTTAGATATCTCTTCTTTTTGACATATCACAAATTAACTTTAATTGCTGTTAATCTTATATTTGGGGACCAATAGAAAATGTAAGAAAATAAAACAATGTACCTCGATGCATCCATTAACAAGTCTTACATCCCGCTATGAAATGAAACCCAAAACATCAGTGAAGACGTAGATAGTTTGCACTTCTTATGTCAATTATTTTTAAAATTATAATGTGGTGTTCTTAATGCAAATCCTTTTGTTGAAGATGTGTTTGTCCAAGGATGGACTTTCACGGGCTGTTAATGATGATGAATGGGGTTTCTGTTTGTAAATGACTTAAGTGGGTATAAGTGCATACCTGTTGCTTGGTCCAGTGGTTGACGGGATGCGCCTGCGCCTGCGGCGGCGGCGTGAGGCTGGCCTCGGACACGGCGCTGGACAGCGGTTGCCACGGCACCTCGCCGCCGACTACACACGCCGGAGCTTTCTTTACTATAACCATAACCCAACGTCAACTCGCGTACACACATTCCTACCTCCTTCTTAGGAGATGCAACAATGGTGGACACGTTCTCAGTCATGCGACGATCAACGATCGGACATCTGTATTAATTTGCGTCCGAATTCTGACTGTTATTTTGTTCACCAGTCTTATTTCTTATTTCCAAGAGAAATTGGTCATTCATAAAACCAGTTAGGAGAGCATGACCACCATTGCTGCATTGTTCACACTTCTATTAGTCTATTTTTTACAACTTCCAAATGATTATTGCCTACTGAAATACATCTACTAATTATATCTACATTAAGCCTACTTTTCAAATATCGTAAAATTGACAAACTCACAAAAATAACAACTTGATAAGGCCAAGTAATACAACAAAAGCTTAACTGTAACACCACCACCACAACACGTATTCAAAGAATGCGAAACAACACCAAGACAATATGTAAGACAGAAACAAAAAAGTAAATGTAAAACAACAGTTAAACCATAAAAATCAATTCTTCCGAGATAGTATCTTGTTTATTCTGTAAACACGCGTTCTGCCACCACCACCATCTGTTCTTTATCATTCAGATACATGTAGGTTCAAGCCTAGCGCGACTACAATTCATGGGGTTGTAAGATTCTTTTACAGAAACTACATGTCCTTATATTTTATAAATAAAATGATGTTTTATTTCTTGTATCATTTTTATTTTTCATATACAGTAAAAAATCGGTACACGATTGCCAAACTAAACATAAAGAACAGAGAAAAATGAGACGAAATAGAAGAGAAGCAACGAGGAGAGTGAGATGGTATCAGCGAGTGGTGCGGTTAGCAGTACAAACCTCGGGCGTTGGCCTCGCTGACGGCCTGGCGGATTTCGTCCACCAGCTCATTGGTCAGCTGCACGGCGTCGGGCACGGGCGGCGATGCCTGCGACAGCGGCGACCCCGCCCCCAGCCCCGCCCCCGGGCCCGGCCCCAAGGCGCCGCTCGCGCTCCGCCAGCACCTGCTTCAGCTGCTCGGCCAGCGACGCACTCGCACCTACCACACACCACACTCCACTCCAGCAAGCTCCGGACACATCAGCCACGAGGTTATTCACTCACAGACACAGACAGTCTCGATAACTGCGCAGCTTGTTAACAATTTGTCATGGTTAAAACATAAATACTGACAACATTAGGCGGAACTTCACCAATAACCCAATGTATGTTGTGTGCTCCTCTTGTTGCAACGTACGTTCGACAGTCGGCGCGAGACAATACAATGGTTAGAAAGCAAGTAATTTCAAAGTTCTTACCAGTGAGAGGATGATGCCTGTGGTCTCTGGAGTACACGGCATCATCAGTCGCGCTACCCACGGAACTGCCACAACTCTGACGGGTGTCGCGATGCTGCTGAATCAACTTCTTATTCAATCAAATGTTACAATGTTACAGAAAACAAAAGCTTAGCTAAGATGGGAGTACAATGTAATTTGAACTTACCTGGCCAATGTGAGGGGGTCCACCTGATGTAGACTCGCTAAGCGACTCGTCCGCGGAGTCGTTATACGAGTCGTCGAGCCCATCGTACTGTATTGATGATAACATATCAAATATCAGTAAAATGTGTTATGGTTTGTATCTACGTTTCATTCGCTTTTTTAGATTTGATAACTTTATTACATTTCTATTTCTAGAGAGTCGTATTTCACTAAAAGAAAAATATAACCATGTCGGACAAAAGGAAGCAACAACCTAGTACAGATTTCAATTCAGTATACTCTATTTTTCCAACTGGTAGGTATTTGGCTTGTTTTTGCCAAGAAGGATATATAATATGTAGATAAATAGAGAGGAACTGACCGAGCTGGCGTTGCTGAGTGAGTGGGGAGAATGCGGCGAGTGCGCGGCGTGGCGATGTCGCGCGAGGTCGGTGCGCGCGCGGTGCGCCGAGTTGTCGAGTAGCGCGCCGCGCGGCACGGCGGCGTCCAGTTCGCGGGACGCACCCAGCGACGACTGACTCAGCCCCACCTGCCCACTCGAAACACCCACACTGCTCACTGAACCCCCGCCCAACACTGACGATGTCGACCTGAACACAATCGCTTATTATAGTCATTCATTTATGAAACACCTGTGAAAAGATTGTCTAAACTTCATAAACTAAAAGAATAATTTTACTATTATGCACATATATTAGAAATGACACTAAAGACAATCACTATTACTCAGAGTCATAACGAGTACTTACTGAGTATCTTGATGATTAGTCGGTGTTGCCGAAGAATGCATGGTGTGAGGTCCGACGGTTGCATAAACAGCATGCGACGTAGTGACGGCTGACGGAGCAGGAGCTTGCGTCACGTGGGGCGGGGTCTGCGACACGTGGGGCGGGGCTTGTATCACGTGAGGCGGAGCCTGCGTCACGTGAGGCGAGGTTGTTACTGGTTTAGCCTCTTCCACAGCAGACTCAGTAACGTCTCCTATGTCGGGCGCTTCACATCGCCTCGACTTGTCCACTTTAGCGTATTCGTCCTCAACAGGCGATAGATCGGAGAGATCACTGTCAGAACTCCATGGATCTGCAACAGGCACAATCATGTAACACAAAGTCTAAGTAAGGAATTCACAAACAAGTTAAAGTAACATTGTTTTTATTAATGTGAATAAAAAATTTTTTGATGAACTTACTGTTGATCAAAAGCGGATCTGGATCAGGTCGGCGAGGCAGGGGCGGTGTTTCGCGACGAGCCGAGGGTTCGTGCGGCAACATCACCGGGAGACCAGCCTTTTTCTGAGTCTCCTGTAAATTAATACATAATAATATATAGAAAAAAAAAACAGAAGTAATGCGCATATTTGCCATAGTTTTTTTTTCTAAAAAGGGAGGAAAAACGTGAAATTAAATGAGGTTGCAATATATATTACATGCATTTTTGAAATACATCTAAAATAAATTCTATAGCGCTAATATTTGCGAAAACCCTGGAAACAGCGGACGCCATGATTGTTTTGCAGTCATAATGTCATTACGTCAGTATTCATTCACTAAACTACAATACGGTAAGGTTGGGTTCGTACCAAGGTGACATTAATATGACAGCTGACACTTTTTTTACTACCGTAATGACGTCATTAGCAGGGCGGCGACATTTCAGACAAATAAAAAAAAATATTATTCCCCTATTGAGTACGAGACGCTGGAGTAGTGTAGGTACGCACCAGTAGCAGCACCTCGAGGCGCGCGACGCGGTCGTGCAGCGCGGAGAGCGCGGCGCCGTACTCGCGGTGCGCGTCCCGCAGCGCGCCGCTCCACCACTCCTCGCGCGCCCGCACCAGCGCGCGCGTGCGCCGCCACTCGCGCAGCGCGCGCCGGGCCTGCACCACACAAACAATTATTTCACACGACATAAAACCTCTCATAAAGCCTTCTCTACACTCCGGGGCTGCGAACGACCTTGCGGGCTACCGAGGTCCGGCTCAAAGCTAAAATTCCCTCTCGCCTCACCGAAGACGAGAGAAGTCATTGGATCATTTTTTTATTAATTTAGACTTAGTACAAACACACACGTACAGGTGGACTTAATGCCTTGGGCATTGTCTTACAGCCAACCTTAAGGTGGTGCAGAGATGAAAGGGGTAAGTGACTAAGCAAATATTAATAATTCATAACTATAAATAAGTACCTACTTGGACAATTAGAAAATTCTCTACACTGCTAGCCTAGTTCCTCAACGCAGTACGAAAATAGATTAGAAACTTTGACTAAATCCCATACAACACTACATACTCATTTACGCGTGGTTCTCTTTCTAAAACTTTTCTGTTCTACCCAGTACCTACTGCCACTTTAGCTTACCGCTTGGCTAAGTCAATTGCTTTTAAAAAAAACCCAGAATAGCACCGTTGAATTACTTTGACCTCTATTATAAAGACCACGCATTAATATTCACATTACAATTAGCAATACAATGATAGTATATATTGAGTAACCTTATCGTATTTCCGCTGAGCCCGGTGCGCGTTGTCGGCGGCAGTAGAGAGCGCGCGTCGTAGATGGTCGTCCGGCGCCCGCGCCTGACACCAGTCCCGTAGCCGCGCGCTAATCTCCTCCGGACTACCGCCGCCGGACTCCATGCCCACCAACTGCACCGCAAAGTTCAAATAGTTAAAAATATTATAACTTCTTTATTATCTTTGTATTTATGATGAACGGCACAAATAATAATAATAATGAACAAATCATTACAAACCTCTTGTAAGAAAGCCCTGAGTTCATTAATTTCTGGGTGTCTAGTTTGTGCAGCGGACGTCTCTACAGGCGCTGCCTGGTTGGAGTCCTCTTCCTCGGCCTGCTGGCGACGCTGACGTTCGCGGTTGGCTCTAAACAAGTTTTTAATATTATAGAAATGTCTTAGTACTTAATACTAGGGACAAATGCATGTGTTTCTAGTGGTTAGTGGTAACATATTAATAGATACTATTAACTATAACTCAAAAATAATATACCTTTCCTCCCTCTCCTTGTCTGCTGCAAGTGACTGTCTAATGAGATGTGCTACTTCACTGTTTTCAGGGTCCTTCTCACGTCCAATGAGGAACTTCACAGGCCCTGACGTGTTTCTCAGTACAGACGCGGCATATGCTTGTGTCACACCCACCTAGAAATAAAAGTAAGGCATCATTTTAGCGTTTGAATTCCATATGCGAAGATGTATACTCGAAATTTTTCTAACATGCAGCTTATGTATGGGGATAGACTTCCATCTTTTCAATTTAATATTTTTTTAATATTTTAGTTATTTAAAATATTGTTATTACGGTGTCCTATATGTAGTAGTGTACTCACCAAGCTCTTGCCATCGACTTCAATAATTTGGTCGTTGACTTGTATGCGTCCGTCTCGTGCGGCGGCGCCACTCTCGGTTATAGTCTTAACGAATATTCCTAACTTCTCCAACCCAGCGTCCGCACCAACACCCATACCTGAAAAAGTATGATGATCATTTGCCTCCATAAAATACAGTCCGTCATATTTACAGTAGAAAGACCAGCATAACGCCCAAGAAAATAGAGTTTCTTACTTATTATTCTCTATACGAATCTATATTTTGGAACAAGCACCTAGCTTCATTAACTTTAATAACTTCTCAAAATTGTTTAATATGCGGATTATGAAGTAAATCCTTTGACTTTGAACTGAAGCTTACCGATAATGGAGAGCCCAAGCCCATCCGCCCCCTTGACGAGGTCTACAGGGAAGACGTGCATCTTCTCGACCCGTTTCTCCAGCTCGTACTCCGCGCTGGCGGCCACGGGGTCAACGTCCTCGTTGCGTCTGTCGTACTCGCGCACCGAGTGCGTCGAAAACACGCGCATTGGATTCGTACTGAAATTAAAAAAGTAATTTTTTGAAAAAGAACAAATCTAGATAACATTTCGTACTGTAGACCTTGAGAACGAGATATTTAAATGATTAAACTTGGTAACCTTATCTAAAATATTAGTAAGTATTAAAATATCGAGCTAACTTTTCAATATACTTTTGACCCAATGAAGCACATACCTGAATTTAACTTTGGTATTTTTCTTGACAAATACTGGTGGGTAATAATCTTCGTCTTCATCTTCCTCAATAGGCGGAAGTCCGGCAACCTGAAATGGTATCGGAATGAGTAACACGACAATATTTAGCGATTAAGTTAATGGATGATAATAAAACTAGTTGTTTAGTGCGTAATCAATGTTCTAGGTCAGAACACGTCGTAGTAGATAATGTTTGAAGTGAAAGCTATAGGTATTTCTACAGAAATACATGTAGAGACTGAATGTCACTCAAAAACAGTCATTTTAGAAGAAAACCTTAGAAAATGTTAATTCTCTGACTAGAAAATTGGACACAATCGAATAGGCTCTGGAACCTTCGTGTGTTTATAAGATGACCCGGTGGTTCTTAAAGAGAATAACGGCCACCAGGGTCGTTCTAGTGGAAGTTTCTCCCATAGTAGAAGGTTTAATTAACACCGTACCTCAGTATAGAAGTGTCCATCTTCGAAGTAGTGTATGCCGTTCTCCTCCCCGAGCTCGCGCAGTTGGTGCGGCGGGTAGTGGTCGAAGACAGTGGCGGGCGCGGCGTCGGCGCCGTCGGCCGGCTCGGCCGCCGCGCGCCGGTCGCCGCCCGCCAGACCCGAGTCCGCCTCCAACGACACAAACTCGTAGCTCTCGTCCACTGACTGCATGCTGCAATTTATTTACATTTTGTCATATTATGTAATACATACAATAACCCCGGTTATAATTACTGGCGTTTTTCGGAGAATTTCTCTAATGAGATTAGTACATAATGTTCTGGCGCGACTGTAGGGGCCATTATTCGTTATATGCCGAATACATTGCAATTGCAGAGATACTCTTTTGTACCATTTATCTATCATCAATTTAGGTAGCTGTATCGGGTCATTTAAGCTGCTATAGTTATAAAATAGTAAACATACCTTAAAATACATAGAATATGGCTAGAAAATGAATAAAATTACCTCTCGTACGAGAGCACAGACTGGTAGCTGTCGTTGAGGGAGACGCCGTTGTCGTGGGGCAGCGCGTGCGGCGACAACATGGCGACGATCTCCTGCGCCTGCTCGTCCGACAGCAAGGCTTCTTGTCTACGCAACACACACACGTTACCTAGCCACTTAGTACTACACCACTCCATAATATGTATAGCTTCACTCACTAACGAAATGACAATGTACAAATTGCAAAACTAAATTAAATTGTGATATCAATCCTAGCGACCTGTGGATGGCGGATGGTAGCCGCTCCACGTAAAATATTGACTATCAGTTATGTACAACTATTGACTATACAGCACAAACTGGTAGTCTCATTGCTGACTAAAAACTAAAACAGGAGTGATCAAAAGAAATAAAGACTTCATTTTACTGAGTTTTGGTTGAATAAATGATTATATTATTTATTTTAAATCTGGTGAACTGTTGCTTATGTATATGCTTCGTACTGTGTTCTACATGTAGCGCTTCACCAGAAACACTCGATTTCCCAATGTCTTTAAAGTGTAAAATTAAACTCTCAAAGTAGTTGCAATTTTATGTAGTCTCGTTAAATTGCTGTACCTAGATAATGAGTTTATGCAATACATAACAATACATTAATGTTGAAGAAAATATATTACTTGATTTATTTTCTTACGATTTACTTTCACTAGTCCAAACTACTAGGAGAAGTAAAGGTGCGTCTTTTTGTAATTTAATACATTTTCCTTGAGGACTATGCGTTATATAAAGTAATCATAACATATTTTCGCCTGTTAGCTTATATCTAGTGAAATAGGTGTACTAAAATGGAATATAAGTAGGTAGAGAGTACAGAGGAGCACATTCACTAAGCATTCTACAATACTACATATTAGAAGATAACGACGGTTGCACAAATGCCCCGAGCTTACCTAAGTTTTTTCTCCAGAATACTGCAAATATCAGGCAATAATGAAGCGTTGTGCGGACAGGCAGCATGCAAATGATAAAAATACGACATTAAATAATATACTAAGCTAACAACATACAAGTCCTGAAAAAAGAAAATATAGAATAGCGCATTTAACAACATCGTTAAGAATTAAGATACATAAATAAAAGAAATGATAAATACAGAACGCGATTTGGGTACAGACATTACAAGTGCGTGGAACCATGCATTCGAGACAGATATTTCAGATACATCACGCATATTTCCAATAGGAATTAAAATGAACCAGAAAGTAAACGTTGATGAATAGCACGATTACATCGAGGAAGAAAGGTGTGACGAATATTAAACAGTTACTTAGTTCCGCATAGCGTACGTGCCTCAGATAAAGTAATTAAACAGAATCGATGTGACGCCTTATTATGTAACTAGCTACAATAACGTACATACTCTTAATCTACTCAGTTAAATTAGAATGAAATGCAATACTTTTTTAACTTTGCATCCGTATTTCTATTTCTTTGGATGTCACCAAAGTTACATGTTTGATCAGGCATAGTTATTTGGAGGTCGTCTTGCTTTAAGTGGACTTTTCTTGCCACAATTCTAAAATAAAAATAACAATGTTAGGAAAGAAAGATATGTATATACCTACTACAATATCTACTACATATGGAAGTGTCTCATGAAATGGTACCATGCCCTGTGCTGAACTGTTTATGTCGGTCTGACAACCATCTCACTGCATGTACAATCACAAAGCCGGGTGCTTTACAAAAAATGTGTAGCCCTGGCTAATGGCTTAGCCCACAGTGTGTAAATTGGAGATATGATCATACAGACTTAGGCCAGTGCAACATTCAAGTACATAATAGAAGGTCACCTCGAGCTGAGCAGTATCTCGGCCTCGTCGGGAGTCATGCTGTCGGGTTGCTTGGAGTCTCCGTCGGCGTCGTCCCACCGAGCGTCGGCCGTGTCTCCCCCGCGCCCGCTCTCCCCGGACGCGTTCTCGCCCTCCGACACGCTCCATTGGCTGGTGGTCGACTTGTCGAGCACCTCTATGGAGCCTTGGCTCGCTTCACTCACTACCACGCCGGAGTCCTGTAATTGGGATTTGGAACCCGTTAATCAAGTTCTGACATATAAAACTTGGAAAGGAAACATGGCATTGTCCCTGTCTCAAAGGAAAAACCATTTCTGTCATACAACTGAAGTATGAATTGTTACAGGAGTAGTTTATATTCTATAAAAGCGAATATTGAATCAGTGATTCAAAAATTACCTCATTTTCGTGAGGCAAAATACTACCTATTGAATTAGGTTTGGTTACTGCTCCACATTTCACAATAGGTCTTCTATCTAACCAATCCAATCAACCCAATGAATGGATGTATGTCTATTCATCGCATTATGTGCTATTGTAGATAAATGTGTAGTAACGGAGTTCGTAGTCAAAAGTTTTGAGATATTCCTTCCATTGTGTAATGAACAATTTAGCTACGATTACAATTTGAAATTCAAAGATTTTGTAACATACCTGCTGGAGTACGGAGAGTGTGTCAGGATCTGATCGCGCGCGCTCTGCGTCCCGTATGTCTCTTGTGAGAGGGGGTGCAGGTGGAGGCGGCTCTCGGTAGTCTGCAGGTCGTAACCGCGCCACCACCTCGGGCGAGGGCTCGTTGAACCCTCCCTCGTCCGACACGCTGGACGCCCGAGATCCACTCCGTCGCGGTATTTCTTCCGCCTCGGACGACTTGCGACCTCCGCCCGCTGTAGACATCATGCCTACTCATTAAGAACATTTCCTTTCAATAAATTGGTTAAGGCGTACTTAATAATTTATGACCTGTATGGACAAGTAAGTAATTACATAGATCGACTGAAGAGCTTCGGTAAGAGTATAAAGTACTTAAACCAAAAGTAATAAAGCGGTTGACGGTCTTGTGAAAACGTTCATGTGGATCCTAATCCTAATAAAAATAAGTACATAAATACTGAATAGACGACAAAACACTAAGAACAATGTTAACTAGACGCTATAAGTAAATAATAAAATAGAAAAATTTACCTATAGGAAATATCTACATTCTATTGCATATAATGGTTCATTCATTGATGATTCGTTTATATATAAATGATCATTTGCCTCCTGATTCGTTTAAAGACTTACAGGAACTTAATTCAGCAACACTAACCTCATTGGAAACCAGTAAAATATGTATATTCTTCGGAGCGAGTACGGAGTAAATTTAGGCTAATGAGCTAACTATTTTTAACGTAGATACTCTACTTCCGTAGCTGGGGCAGGTGCTGAGTATACATACAGGTGCCCAATATAAACAAACATTTAATCGGTACATGTTATTTCAACGCAAACTCAAACCGCAACTTCGGTTATACGAAGTACATACGTTTACATGCGGATATTTATAAAAAGCGACGATTTTATTAAACGCCCTTGTTTGACTCACAAATGACATTGATTCCAGACACAAAAAAAAACTAATGTTTTGGATACGTGGAACGAATATACATCGTACATTTTTGAGGATTTCTTGTAAAATAGAACCATTCCTGTTCTATAAGAAATCGTCTTTTAACCATTTACGACGAATAAATAACAACTAGTAGTTAAGTTATTTCACATTAATTCATATCAATATAATAAATGTTATCTATCGTGCTCAGCACTAAATACATATATCATGAAATTTATTTGTTTACAATTTGCATGTGCGGCTACACTTTCATTTCTAGATCTTGAGATAATTAAACAGGCATATTCTTAAAAAATAATTTATGATAACCATTGACTGACCATTCAGCATTTATAGTAATCTATGTAACACATGAATTTGCAGTAAACCGTTAGAACGATCACGCGATCTCCCGAGACAACGAGAGCGAGTCACGCCCACTTTACTAATTAAAACCACTATACTCATATATATATTCAGATGGACCTATATGAAATTGACTGTTAAATGCGACTGGTACTTCGTTTCTCATATCCAAGAATGCGACCACTTAAAATGCCGTTAGATTTGGAGACGAATTCTGGTGACAAAAGAGGGAAGCTAAAAATAAATAAGTGTATAAATAGAAGAGCATTAAGACAAACAAACACATCCACATATCTATTTTTAACAGAAAACTAAACTTTTGGATGTAGGTACTAACTCCTAAATGTCGAATAAACAAAGCATAAGCCTACCTAACTAATTTTCATGTGGATCATTTTGAATCAATATCCTATATAAAACGTGGTCATTCGGAAAGAACATGAATTTGGTAACGAATCGGTGTTGATACTAGCTCCACTTTAAACAGGAACACATAAAAGTTAACCTTGTACAGTTAAGGTACACCCAAATCGGTGGGTATGTGGTAAATACGAAGACGACTTTCCAAAAAAGGCCCGATCATTTTCAACTAATGCGTCAAGATGTGGAGTGGATGCCCACGCGAACGTTGTTAATTCAAATTGTACTGTGTGATTTATATGGCAGATAATTATGATATTTGCGACACATTATGGTAATATTTGGTAGTCTAGGCTCCTGTTTATCCTACCTAAAGGTCTTCTTTGTTATTATGTCAAATTAAAACACTTTAAGTAGACGATCTGGAATGGACTGAAGGGAAATCATCAGCTGTGTCGCATCTACGACTGATGTGCTGTATCTTTTTATTTTTAATTCTAATCATTTCCATAATGACAATGAATGATAGATCTTTACTAAACTACTGACTGTTCTAATGATGAGATGAAAGTAATTAAACAAAGACATGTTTAGTTTTCTTATCAAACCAATTTTTATGCTGAATACATAAAGACTTTATTTCGATGTTTGTATCTATAAATGCGCATGGGATTATAAGTTTAATGAACATACATACATAGGTACTATTTTCGATACCCGGGTCATTGAAACAACCAAGTTAAAAAATAAAATTACGAATGCTTAAAATTTCAGTTCGTAAATGAAACACGTGTGAAAATGAACACGTTGCGAAATCGTCGGCATCAAGAGGAAGTTGAGAGTACTTGTTTCACGTCTACTCTAGGCTTTGCAACGTTAGCAGGAGCATTTGAACTTTATGGGTACTTAGGTAGGTCCCTAGTCTCTATCGCCTATGGTACTCGATATAAATATGTGAATACTGAATTTACTGATTGTGTCCGAGCTCCTAGAAACGTTAAGGGAAAACGTTTAATTAAGTCTCAATACTGACATTTATCTTAATCATTCGTAGAAAATGAAAACAAGCAAAGCAACAGGCATCAATGATATCGTCTCCTCGTGTGTTCTTTCTTATAAAGATGACAATTGTAGGTAATCTTAATCCATAATAAAATTTAAATTTTTAGAAATTATAATTTTCTAAGACAGTAATATGTAAGTAGTAACTCATACCTATATGAGATTTCCAACTCGAGAATTGAATTCAGCTGCATCAACAAACTGTCTGAAAAGCGACCCAAAGTTTGTTCGTTTGTTTGTTTGTTAGTTTGTTTTTAAGTAAAAGGAAACAATAATAAGGCAACTGACCGAGGCAACAGCCGCAGAGGCGCATGTTGAGCGTGCGCATGCGACGGGCACGCGCGACACCCGCCGCATCACCGCGCCATCGCCGCCGGCGTCCCGTGCCTCCACCAACACTGACCACCCTCAAGTGGACATTCACTTCCAAACGACGTATTTTGGTAAACTTATGCCAACTTCTATTAAGCCACACTCGAAACTAAATTTTGCCTTTAACGAAAAAAACAAAAGGCAACTGAAAGCCTAAAAACACTCATTTTTCACAGTATGACGAACTTCAGCCTAATTCAGCTATGTTGCCTTTGTGCACTAGTAAGTAACTCCATGATAAAAGATTACGACAAAAATGTTGTCAAAGCGGTAAATGTGCGCTTTGTAAACAAACACAGCCGCAGATAACCAAGTTGGCAACATACTAAGTTTACACAACTCATAAGAAAAATGAATTTAATTTTGATAGCGTAGGTAGCTCAGTTAATAATTTGAAGGTCAATATTAAAAGGTATAAAATAATAGCATGCCAATTGGTCGAGGAACCAAATAACCTGAGTTTTTACTAAAGGCACATATTGTGTATTAAATATTTCATCAGGTCCGAAACGTTGCTCAATGAATGTAATATTCAACATAGAAGCGAAAACACTGGGTTGGGCCGAAACGATTTAAAGCAAAACGAGAAAGGGCATCGAAGAGCTTACAACAACAGAGTTTATAAAAGGCTGAAAGGACGATACGAACTTTCTGCGTAAAGTTTAACGCGAACTGAATAAGCGTTTCTACGTAAATATCGACAAACACACTGTTGTTTAAATTCTAGTCACAAATAGTCACTGTTTTTATATTGGAGTTTTTGCTTGTCTGATCAATCAGGAATGATCATGAAAGAAGCACACACTTTTTTATAAGTTATTGATTTGATCTATACTTTAATACAGATGGTATAAAGCGTTTCAAGACGGCAATCAATTGTCAAACGGGGACCGTAAAGAGTATAATAGTGTAGCGTATGAAGGGGAGCGCGCAGGGCGACGTCGCTCGGGTTACTGCGTCGCGACGACGGAGGCGGCGGCGGCGCCGGAGCATCTAAATCGGGATCGACTCGCAAGTCTCGCAACGACTCAAATACCTTGACTTCCTCAATATTACATTGAACCCACAGAACACGAGACCGCCAAACATACGTCAATAGACGCCTACTTTTCTGTTTAGTATGATTCTCAATCTCACTCACAGAAACAAGAGAAATTGTGGATTCACCTGTTTCGCCAAATTGAGACCCCAGGTGATATTAATTATAGGAATATTACCAGAAAACAAGATTTCTTTCAATAATCCCAAAAGTCGGATAAAAATACAGAAAGTATATAAAAGTTATAACCCGAATATCTTTAGAATCCCTAATTTCCAAAGATTTTCAGTAAACCATTATTGTATTATCAATAACTACGTACAACGTGCCTACTTTACACGTCAATAACAATTTTCTTATAGTAGCGATAAAAAGGAAAGATAAAGTATAACAAAATAAAGATAATAAGTCTTTAAGAAAATAGTAGATACTAGATAGGAAAATATCATACCAGGCGAGGGTGAAGCTTGAAGAGAAGGAGGCGAGGACTCCGCAATACGGTGTACCGGAGACGCTAGCGGTGACACCAGTGGAGAGTGTGGTGCATCATCAACTTTCACAGGACACGTAGGAGATTCAGGCGTTGAAGAACGGCGTCTGGTTTTTTCTTCCCATTCTCCTCCATAATCTACAGACTCATACACATCTTCATCCAATATTTTCGATGATCTTGAACCATTGTCCAAAGTTACTGGACTGACAGGTGTTGGAGATATACGTTCACTAATATTTTTTGTGTTGTTGTCGTCAGAGTTGGACAACAGGACAGGTGAATCATGAGATGTAGCACTAGGCGAATTTCCATCAGTGGGAGCTACATCCACGACATGATCGGACGATGGAGTTTCAATCGGATTTAGGGCCACTGGTGACTCAGAAGATTCACGTCCAGCTGAAGGTAAACTATCTTTTTCATAGTATAGTGGCGAAACTGGAGATTTTGGCGACCTTGCCGAAGGTGATGGTGATTTTTGTTTTCGCGGAACCGAAACTGGTGGCGTAGGGGAAACTCGTTCTATATACTGTATTTGTTCACTATACAGTGTTTGTTCACTTGATTTATGTAATGGAAAATCGTTATTTTCCTTATTTTCACTTCTTTCATCGTCACTTGGAGGGGAAAACGATGATCTAACACTAGGAGAACTCTTTTCACTGGAGGTATTAAGTTGAGATGCCAAATCAGATTTGTTTTTACTTGGTGACTTTACATGTTCCCTTCGTGTTGGCGGAGAAACTGACGATTCGGGCCTCGGTATTGGTGACACTGAATTATTAGCTCTTGGAGACACGGGTGTAACTATTTTTATAGGGCTCGGAGTTTTTGTTGTAGATGTGACTCGATTTAATAACGAAGAAGGAAGAGTAGTAGGACGTTCTAATTGGGTATCACCGGCGCAAGGCGAAAGTGGTGGAGAATAAACACGCGAAGGAACTACATATCTTTCATGAGCGTCCGGTGACTTTCTGTCTTGATAACTACTGCAGTATTTATTAGAGTCCGCTTTAGGTTCATCATTTCGAGATTGGCGAGATTTGTTAAAGTGTGCAGTCCAATTTCTCTGTTTTTCTATGAGCTCTTTGTTAAACCTTCTATCTGGCTTTTCAGGTTTGGGTAAAACACTCGGCTTCACAGGTTTTGGCGGTGGTGCATTTGCACCATTTGCCAGACGGTCACCATTAACAGCAGGTGTCGGCATCGGCGTTGGTGTCACAATTCGTCTAGGCGGACTGACAGAGCCCGCCGAACTGGAGCGAGACCGCGCTGGTGGAGTTACTCCACGGGTCCCTGCAAAACTAGCAGCCGCTGAAGGTGATTTCTCAATACGAAATCCACGATTTTCTTCACCCAATTTTTCAAAAAGTGCACGTGCGTTGTTGAACCTTGCCAAATGACTTTCGGTCCGGACGCCTGTAACGTCGCTGCCGCGAACTTCGTCTTCCTCTTTTGACGGCATCCCTTGAAATATATTCGCAATCTTCGAAACTTTAGTGCCGGAATGTCTTTTCTTGCACTCCTCCATACTAGCCGGGTATGCCCGTTTTAATCCGACCTGTAAGAGGAAATAATCAATATCAATTGTTGATCCATTGAAAAATAGATCAAAGGCGGCTACACGAAGTCGATAAAGTAGAATTAGATAGGCGCGATGCAAAATGCGTACTGGCGCAAGTCGTTAGCGCTCGGAACGAGCACGGACGCGCGACTCGCGACGACCGACGACGCCGAGCCCGGGTTGGCTTGATTATTCTCTACGTTAAATTAACTTGAGATAGCGATAGTGCTGATAACAGCGTATTCTTATTTAAACGCTCAAATCTAATATTTCGGTGTTTACTGACGTGCTTTACGGAGAGAGATAATGTGCATTATTTGCGAGTAAGTAATTTCTTTGTCTAGGGCATATTATAAGATAAACAAATACTTATAGTTGAACGGCAAAGCGATTCACTAATACTACCTTCCCTTTCTTGTAAAATAAATACTATATACATTATAATACCACAGAAATATGTAGCGCTTATCTCAGTGTGAATCACACACATTTTTGATATGACCTGAAATAATATACGATAAGATGTGCGTGATAAAAAGATAACACAGATAACCGTTCAATCAGCAATTAATGTACACTTCATTTATTGTTTGCGCACAAATAAAATCACCGACGAAAATAATTTAATTGAATGTGTCAATTTCAATATGTCTCGGAGTAGTTCATTTTGGGTGTTACTGTTTTGCTATAATATTATGCGAGTGAGTCCACAATGTCAAATAGCACAAGTATGCATAACTGATTATAATAAAAGCGACTGTGCTGGTATTGAGGAATTGGTACCAAATTCCATCGTGGAAGGGTGTTGTCCCTCGTGCACCATCGGCGGTAAGCTATTATTATTAAAATATGTTAATTTTTTATATTCATTATAATAATTATCAAATTCACTGTACACAGTACAAAACCGTATGCATAATAATTGTATCATATTTCACTCACGCCGACCCGACGGATGTTAAGCTATTTGTTATTCGATCTAGTCATTGCGATCGCCGACCGCAGTCTCCGGGAAAGAACTTATTACCTTGGAGAAAATGTCCGGTTGTTGGTCTTCGATTAATTAACATGTGTACCAATTGCTCAACAATTACCTATTTTGACGTGACGTATTACGTTCACTTCAAAATTATTTAGCTACTATAACTCATAAATTATCCTTGGCAAGTGGCTAAAATATCTAAAGAAATGTTTATCGGTGGTTTAAAAGTTACATTGCCGTAAGAACAAATTCGCTCAGTAATTTGTCAATTTACCACTTATAACTGGGACAAGTCAGCCATTTGCCGCTCTATTGTGGCTCTGGAGACTGCACATTTAAGTGTTAAAGATTTGTATAACTGGATTGGACTTCAAAAAAGCACTTCCAGTTTTTACAAACGGAAATACAGATAATTATTGAACCATCAAAGGTTGTAACTATTTGAGTAACGGAGCAACTTCTTTTTTAAAGGAAATTGCATGACGATCATAAAAAAATACCTTGACAATGAAGTAATTTTAGAAATTCGGTCTTCTACATCCACATGTACTTGCTTTGTCTCTGTTAAAAACTGACTTTTAACGATAGCACGCGATAATTTCGTTTTATGTACCTTCGTTAAATAGAATATTTTAAATATTATGCAAGTCATTTTAGCGAAGTGTGTTCCTTTGTGAAGAACTGCAATCATAAGTATTGTCGTAGTGTTCTAAACATTTAAGCAATATCCCATATGATTACCGGATTTTTAGTTTTTAACCAAGGTTTTTGTTTGTTTTTATTATGTAGTTAAATATCATTGTAATAATAATTTTCAGGTGGTACCCCGACGACGCAAGGTTGCAATCCAAGTGTTTCCACTTGCTTGCCTGATGGACGATATGCGCCAGTACAATGCAAGGGCGATCGATTTACTGGCAGGTATTGGCCTCAAATTAAGAGTTTAAATTAACCAAAAAATATTTTAAGTAGGAAATTGATTTTAATATTTTCTATTTAATGACCAAAATGCAGGAAAGCTAATTATGCAGTTGGAATAATGTTGAAAGATGCACTAACTGTTCTTATACAGATATACCTAGTTACCTTACATTCAATATTACTTTCTAAGACAAAAAGTTTTCGAAGAATTGAAAGAGATATATTATTAACTAGCTATTGGCCGTGACTTCGTCCGCGTAAAATATGAATTTTAGAACATAACTAGTTTGTTTCAATATTCCAAAATAAAAGTAGCCTATAAAAGTTGCAAAATCGGTCCAGCCATTCCAGAGATTAGGCAGTACAAACAGACAGACAAAATAAAAAAAATGTAATTTTGGTTGCGTATCCTATTTATATTCATATGCATGTAGTAAAAAGCGGTTATTTTAATATGACAAACAGACACTCCAATTTTTTTTATCTTTAGGTTTAGATAAATTACTTGTCAACCCAAATAACGATAACGATTTTTTTTAATATAAACTACTTATTTATTGTAATATGTACTTCTTCTTCCTATATGCCTTCATAATTTTTCTTTTAGATGTTTCTGCTCGGATCCAAACGGAAGAAGAATATTCGGACAAATGTGGAGGGACCAAGCGGAGCACATGACGTGTGGTAAATGCTACAAGCTACCATAAAAAACATTGTCACGAACCGGAAATGTGTACATAACAAAGTTATTAAAACATGCAAGAGCTTCGCTAATCACCGAATCTTGCATTTTTCTAAAATTTCCAAAGTGCCAAGTTTCATCATTAACACGATCTTACTTGGCAACAGCAAATAGTTAATAACTGATTTCACTTATAACATGAATTTTAAATAGGTAGAGGAATTTCATTGATTCTTTCACATAAATAAACAATAATTTTATGCTTAAAATAACATATTATGTACATAACGTCAAAACATTATGAAAACTATCAAATACCTATTTTTTAATTTTAAAATGAATTTATGAGATCTTTTTTATGAGTTACATTAATGAGGTAAAAATACATTAATGAGGTTTATAAAGATAAAAAAAGGTTTTATTGTTCAATAATTAAATGATCCACTGATTTCAGCGTGCAGTCGTAGAAGAGCTGAAATGGAAGCAGAAGGCAAGGTCGTGACACTTCATTGTTCAGCAAATGGTGATTACGAACAACTGCAATGCGATAGTGGGATGTGCTGGTGTGTACAGCCCAGGAATGGACAGCCAATCGTGACACCTGTTCACGAGGAAGATATGGAACGCCTTCCATGCTGTATGTAATAATTTCATGTTTTTTAACCCATTTGAGGTTTTGCGTTTAAGTTGTAAAAAGGTCTAGTTACAGTTAATGAATTTTCTGTCTGTCAATTTTCTTGGTTAAGTTTACTTTACTGATAACTGAATATCCGATTCAAATAACTCTCTCTATCATACAAGATATATGATATGAAATATGGTCTACACGACAGTAAAATCCAAATGATTCCGCCACTGTTGTAGATCATTCGCTTGCCAAGGAGATGCAACAACAGGATATACACAATATTCACAAGTGATTCACAGTCTGAAGATATTATTGAGTGACCAACGGCAATTGTACACAATCAGTTTGACAAAGAACCCAGATACACTTGTTCAAATATGCTGCATGAAACTAAGTCATTTGTTTGAATTTTTGTATAGAATAGTAAAGTATACATAGTCCTAATATACCTTACCATACTAGATTAAACCAGGATTCAAAAGGTTTAAGCCTTTTTAATAGTAGATAGTTATGCCAAATCCACAATTCCATCTTCATCGTATCCATCCCATCATCATAATAAAAGTATTAATATTAAGGCGACCTTGGGTATTACGCTACTTGTGTATGGATTCCTTTAAAATATTAACTAGAAAGTGACCTGGTTTCAAACAATCCACTTTTGCGCGTAGTGCAATATTTATGCACGTAGGTAATAAATACAGGTGGGTGGGACCGGCTCGGGCATATGTCTACAATGACGTCATTACTTAGAGGGCAGCCACCCTGCTTTGCAATGGCATCGATCGTTATATTTTAGTATATTCTACTACATCATGTCAACTAGTTAAGTACCAGTACTAGACCAGTCTAATTAATTTCATTTTAAAATTACAGATAGTGCAGCAGTTATTGGAGAACGGTATTTAAGAAAATGCGAAAGTTTAACTGCTGCCAATGGATTCATCCGGTATGAACAGTCGACACACGGAACTAATTTCCTTGGTAGTCCTGTCTCAACTTGTGATTACGACGGAAGTTACGGACCAATTCAAATTTTGAATGGCATGTATGTAAAACATTTTGATTATTTATGGACCGATTTTTCATCATCAATTAACTCATAAATGTAGAATAAAAAACTGAAAACTGTCAAATGTTAATTTTATTCTACAGCTAAGAATTAAATGTTGATAGAAAAATCGACCCTAAGTTTAAATTTAGAACATTATCAAAAGCAGTTAGATAAAAAATTACGACGATTTTCTTGTATATAAATTAATGTTTAACAAATGTTTCAGAGCTTACTGCACCGGTCGAGACGGAAAAATATTAGGAGCCTGGCAGACAACAGTAGCTACTATGCAGGGAATGAATTGCAGTGAGTATTAGTCTTAAAAATTGGAGTTTCTATCATTTGTATAAAGAACCAGCTTTTACCCGCGACTTCGTACGCGCAATCCCGTTTTCTCCCGTTCCCATAAAATTTTCAGGTTTTTTTCTATCACAAGAACCTTCTCCTGACATTAACAAACACAACAAAAAAAAAACAGCCAAATCTATCCAGCCATTCTCAAGTTATGGCGTGACAACGGGAAACGGGTTTCATTTTTATATATATAGATTAAATATCACAATATTGTTGCAAATGTTACAATCATGCGTGCATTACAAATTCACATATCAGTCAGGTATTAATCCCAGTCCTACTCGGTTTTTTATTTACAATGTATGGTTGGTGTTGTTAGCGCTTTCATCTCAATAATATTTTCCAATGATTGTTAAACTAGCATCCTCAAGTCGATTCATTGTTATAAAGGAAAGAATGCGACACACTTTCGCTTGAACTGGATCTAAATTATAATCTTATAAACCAATTCAAATACCTACATAGTCGTCACGTGTGTCGCGTCACTAAATTATTTTATAACTAGCTGACCCGGCAAATTTCGTACCGCCTCAATCTATTTTTCTCACCTTTTAACCTTCCCTGGACTTCCACGAACATTTTAAATCGAAAATTAGCCAAATCGGTTCAGCCGTTCTTGAGTTTTAGCGAGACTAACCAACGGAAATTTATTTGTATAGATACATTGCCCGAACATATTCAATTAGAGGTTTATATAAAATAAGGATCTACCGTTTCCTATTCTTCTAAGATAGTTGCCACTAGTTCTTATTGATTTAATTTGCATATATTTTGTTTACTATATGCGCATAAAACAAGATAGGCTGGAGGGCATCGGCGTCGTACCGTTAGTATGGCTCATTCGCATTGTGCCACTACGACCGGTTGTCGGCCGTGACCCTGTTCCCGATACTTCGTACGGTTCCACCCATCTTACAATTCAGCTGGAATGCGGAGACTAACTTACTTCATACTTCACCAATTAATTCAAAACAAGTTGCTCTTTGGCAGGTGAATTGGCCAATGTGACCATGACACTGCGACTGTAAAAACACTCAATTGCACTGCTTCTCATTGAGTGAATCACTGATAGAAGTATCTTTATAACTTACTATAGAACATAGTATTTCAAATTCTTGAACATTGGAATGGCGACAGTTATGAGAAATTAATTGACCGTGACCCACACCTTAGACGATAAACGTAAAGTCCGAAACGATGGAACAACCATTTTTATTATTAGCTAAACCTTGAAATTCAAGCCTCTCAACTTGCCATTCCAATCTTCATTATTTATTTCTTGAACATAAGAGAATACGATACTTCTGACAATACATTTGCGAAATGGGGTCATTTGTCATAGTGATCTAATAGATTCTGATTTCATGTCAGTCATTACAAAAGAACGTGTTAACTTATTTAGTTTTGTGAACAGTTTTCTATGATTGGAACAGATTGTGCACGAGACACCATGATTTTCTTCCCGGAACGAGGAATGACAGTCACTGAAACTTGTGAAGCGAACGGGAATTACAGAGCGCTGCAGAGCGTGGGATCAGTGTACTACTGCGTCGATACGGACGGTTATCACACAGAACTACATGACGAAATACCACCTGGTAATTGCCAAAGTTATGCTGCAACGTAAACTTTTTGTAACATTACTTTTTAATGCCAATAATGGCATGTATGGGCATGTAATGTAATAAAATAAACATTTTTAATCTACACACACTAGTATTTAACCACAATTTGTTAAAACAATATTAAAATAATTAATCATGCTATTACCTATATTTTACTATTGCTAAGAAATGAAATTTGTTTCTTAATGATACTTGCAAGGATCAATGACTTTAAAAAAGGAGTATAATGTATAACTTTATGCAAAAGTTGTCTGTTTTTATTTCCCAAACTGTGACCAACGGATAGTGGAATCTTATCTTATTAATTTGACTGGGCCCGACAATAGTTAAAGTTTGATTTATTGAACTGATCTTCGAAGTTACCAAACTAAATCTAACGTTGCAATAATTAAATACTTGAAGATAGATCCTATCATCATCATCAGCCTGTTTTCGTCCACTGCTGGACATAAGCCTCTCCAATGGCACGCCACTGAGCTCGGTCTTCAGCTCTACGCATCCAACCACTACCAGCCACTTTACGTATATCGTCACTCCACCTAGATGGAGGGCGCCCTACACTACGTTTGCCTAGACGCGGTCTCCACTCCAGAACACGTCTACCCCAGCGGTCATCGGTTCTTCGACAAATGTGACCGGCCCACTGCCATTTCAGCTTGCTAATCCTTTGGGCTACATCGGTAACTTTAGTTCTCTGTCGGATCACCTCGTTACTGATCCTATCCTTCAGAGATACTCCGAGCATAGCCCTCTCCATAGCTCGCTGCGCTACCTTAAATTGGTGGACCAGTCGCACTGTTAGTGTCCACGTCTCGGCTCCGTATGTCATGACTGGTAGGACGCACTCGTTGAAGACTTTCTTCTTCTTCAGGCTTTGCGGTAGAGTTGACTAAAAGACCCGATAGAGTTTCCTATATGCCGCCCAGCCAAAAAAAAAAAAAAAAAGCCAAGCTGTATCCTTCTACAGATAAGAAGATAGATCCTATAAGTCCGTTATATAAGGGTGCGTCCACATTTGGCAAATGCTCTGCGACTGCGGAGCTCGCGAGCTGCGCGCGTGGATTTAAAATTATTGTTTATACGAACCTTGTATGAATTGACCACCGAACCATGCAAGTGAGCGAGCGATGCGAGAAGCTCGCGAGTGGTTCGCGAGCTGCTCATTCGTGGCACATTCGCCAGATGTGGACGCATACCCGCGCGTACCCTCACGTAACAACATTGAAAAACGGGGTAAAAACCGGCAGAAATAGAAAAAGGATTCATTGACTTACCGGATAAATGCATACTCAAAAGACGCACTCTGTACCATGTGACGCGTGTCACCCAACCTCGGGGTGCCGCTGGTCACTCGCCTCGCGAGCTCTTCCATCTGCAACATCACACTACGGTTACGAGAACTAAAGGAGTTTAAGAGCTGACTACCGTTGCTTGCTGTACTCAATTAACAATACATATTTTAATTACATCTTTTGATAAAAGTACGCATAAGGGGCGATACTTAAAGCTTAAGCTAAGCTAATTAGTGTCATTAGAGCTACCTCGAAAATATTGTGGTCTTTATTAATATGTGAGTAGCTAAAGCAAAACAAATAAACCTACGCTTTACAAGTTATTGTCATTTGCCTGTTCTTGGTCTACTAGATTTCTAAACGCAAAAAGGAAGGCATTTCCGTTAACTTTAATAATTTAATGTCTTAACCGTGTCTTAATCACAATATTTTATTGAACCCCAAATAACACTAATACCATAAATGTGAAAGTTTCTTTGTTTGCATGTTTGTCCGTCAATCACGTTGAAATTAGCTATAGTTTAGGTATAGAACAGCATGCATATAGCATAGAATAGAATCAGGCGTTACTTTGCGAAATGCATGCTTCACTAACAACTGGGAAAATATTTAGTTTTTATTCTGCTGGAGGATTCATCATAACCTACAGTTACTTAGCGTTTACAAACGCTAAAATCACATTTTATATTTCCTATTCTAAATTTTTTCCCTAATTTTCTGCTGGCAAGAGGTAAGTAAAATTTTATGATGCCTTTGGGCCATATTTGTGATACAACATTGCTATCCCGTGCTAATTTGTGGCCTAGTAAATAGGGCAGTGTTCCCTAAAGACACGGTACGTTTTCAAGAGTAGTTAGCCAGAGCAGAGAAACGAGGTTTGTAGGTACTCTGTATTATTACAGTTATGTATTATATCTTCAGCTGATTAAGTTGCTGTTACCTTGCTGCCTAATACATTTTTAACACTTTTCGTACGCAAATGGCCCGTTAATTACACTAGTCTAATCAAGAGCGGACCCCTGAGCTGATCCAGGACTTATATAGACCACTAATTGAACGTGATGATTTTATTAATATACTAGCTTCTGCCATTTTGTTTTTTCAATTTTAATCGTTTTTGTTTTCGTGTTATTCACGCAACATCAGCCTGGAGCAGTTGATTACAACTATTATTTCATTAAAAAAGCCATTTAATTCCTTACTTTTATGAAAATAAAACTAGTTTTCTCCCATCACGGGTCGGTGTTTATCGGGAGCGTTCCGTTTTTGTTTTGGCGCCAAAGCACACCAAAGTACATTTTTATGAACATTTTGGGAAAAAAAAATTCACGCCACATGAAAGTAGAGCAACTGGTGGACTTTTTTTATGTCATAGCCGTTATTTTTAAACGAAAATGCATGCAATGAATCTACAAAAGTGCATCACAAATAACCCTGATGAAATTTTGATATGCAACGTCTGGAACGGCACCTAAACGTAATTGGAAAGAGCAAACGGAAATCTACAAAATCTACAAAATTGCCAGTTTTCACGAATCCCGGAAAACATTCCAGGTAGAAATACTAGGTTCATTGAGTGAACTATTCCGATTTCTATGGTTCTTTTTTAGGGAATAGTTAATGTTACTTTTATAATTAGAAATGACTGAGACTTATATACGTAAGAGTAGACAAATATAACCAGAAACCTTCGAAATGCTAATCTATCGGGAACTACACGTGTTATTTTGAGTGAACCATCAAAGATAGACATATACTGTCGAAGGATATTCCTTATATAGTTTAAAAAAAAAAAACATTTCCATCATACATAATTTTCGTTTTCACATTTTTCTATGGTGTTGCGGTTACAGTCTCCATGGGCAGCGCCGACAGTTTACCACCAGGCGACCCGTCTTCTCGTTTGTCGTCGTTAATTTTTATTGTCAATGCGTGTGCGTTTTTAAGTTATCGATATCCTTCCATATGAAACTTTGGAATCTAAACGGGTGAAGACGTAAGCAGTAAGAAAAAAACGGTCAGACGCCGCTGTACAACATGATTCCCGTTTTTGCTCCAGGTTTGGTTGTATCGTGTTACCTATGTAAAAATAATTATATTTTCTAAACAAATACGGTGAATGAAAACATCTTGAGGAAACCTAAACGAAATTGAAATCGCCAATCCGCCTTGAGAAAGCCTAGCCTATAAAGTTAAACCTTATCCGTGTGAAAGGAGGCTTTTGCTTAGCAGTGGGCATTAATATGATGATGAACTAAATAAACTATACGTGACGTTTAAGAAAAAATTAAAAATCGAATAACTGTAGTTTTGATATTTCCCTACAATTATACTTGGTTAGTTTAAAATTAAATTACTATCTAGAAACTATTTTTTATTATTTTTAACTATACTGATACAGTATAGTATATTCAGACATCTGTTAAACACGTAGTTTTTGGGGCAGTTGCGGAAATAACTAGCGACCTCCCCTCGACTTTTGCACCAAGTGGATAGTGAATTAGCTAATTAAAACTTTGTATAGTTAGAGGTAGTTAATTCTAGATCGAATATTTATCTATTAAATTATCGACTCATTATTCTAATAAGTTGACTAAGCATTAAACTTTTACATATATAAAAAAATATTACGCTTTTATCCGCAAGGTGCTGGGTAGTGATGTAAAATATTTAAATTTGACAAACACTTCGTTGATTACCTATATCCTATTGTCACAAACCGTGCTAGTTTCGAACAAATGAGTGTGTATTTCGAATCGCGAATCGAACCCGTGACTACTAGAGCAGCAGTCGCGTTTATAATTACTATAGCAATGAAACAGTTTTGTATATGTAGCATTTGTTACTAATATAGACTGAATAATAATGCTTCGGTTCCAATTTAAAGTTCAACAACCATGAACTTAGTAGCTACCTACTTTAATTAAATGCTAAATCATGAATTTCTTGATAACTTACGAGAAATCACGAGGTACCTACTTTAGTTAACAGTAACAAAAGTCTCACTTGACTTTTTATTTGAAGACTTTAAATTACTACAAGTACTACAGGCCTGTGGTTATTTTAAAAAGGGGTCAGTAGCTGGCTAATTCACAAGCTTGGCGTTGAAACTCGCAACCACATATACGGTATTCATATACCCGCCTACGGAGCTTAGCAAATGACTGATTTCAAATAGGTAAGAATACTATAATATATGATATAATTAGTGAGTGAATTTTAGAACTGTTAAGTCTATATGTGTGCCTACGCAGTTTTTTCGCTCGAGTAAACATCTGCGTGGTAGATATTTAGTTTATTTTGGGTGACGACTATAAATGACGCGATAGGTACTTGTTATGTTTGTTAATAACTAAGTAATTAGGTCTACGTAAAACGTTGATAAAAATAAATTATATTATGACATATTTTTTTTATAAACAAAACAAATATTAATATTATAACTAGGTCACGAACTTGAGATGTGATTTAGTATAATTGTATAATTACGGTTTACTCACATAACAAGTTCAATTGTTCACAAGGTTACTCGACTATGACTATGGGCTCCTGGTGTGATTTGAAACCTGTTGAGTTACGCCGTCGAACACTTACGACACTTACGTCATCGAGCCGTACATCATCATCATCATTAGTTAATTATAGCTACATAGTTAAGTAAATTGTGGCCTTTGTGGTTGGAAGACTGTAATAGAACCTGGAGCTGAACTGAACACATTAATTAACTTTACTTATACAAAGATTATTTTTATCAAATATTAATTTAATTTGTAATTGAAACAACGGAATTAGGCCATTAATATGGAATTAAGTACTTTTGCTATAGGCAAGTCTAAGTAAATGCACTAT